ACATTGATCCACTCGATCGCAGTCACACCAGTCAATGTCTGAAGTGCAAAAACGGGAAAACGGATGTCGAGTTTCGTCAACTTTCGTCGGGATTCGTCGACCAAACTTTCGTCGGCGAACGTCAAAATTCACTTCAGACACGCCCTTATCTCTTCCCGCAGTAGTGTAGAGTGATCGCTGTGGAGAAGGACTCTAGATAGATACACCGGATTTTCTATTTCAGATGTACGTATTGAACGTAACCCCAGTGGTATTCGAGCAGACTGCAGTAAAATTATGCCTCTACGAGATGAATCTGGTTTACCTTCAATTCCTTTATTTGTGGACAGGTTTGATAGAATTTTGACTCAGAGTTTTGTTATCCAGTCATATGTTTGAGGTACTGAAGTATATGCTTCCTAAATGTAGAGAAAATGTGACATAGAGATAAGAGTACGTTAAAAATAGTGAGTGGGTCGAACGATGTAGCCAGAGGCTTGTTAAATTTATTATATGCAAAAGTTGTATTTTCTTTCTATTTGAACAATATTCTCTACAAATCTACTTAGAATACGCTATTTATGAGAAAAAACTGGAATGATGTGAGGATGGAAATGAATGGCCGAATACGTAATATTTGGAGGAAGGCGTTGTGATCTTATATTGTGCACTCTGGAATACCCTATAACAGAATGGACTTTGAATATATAGCCCAAGAGCTTCGGATTCTTGAGTGTTTGATGGGTAAATGTAAAGTATGGTAAAGTAGGCGGAAGAACGACTTTGTTTTAACCTACCTACCCATTTTTTTACCCGCATTTGTGGTAGATCCACTCCAATATGAGCAACGTGCGAAACCCGGAATACCGTCGTGGGGGTTGGCTGAATACTCGTCGGGACGGGGGTTTTGTGCCCGGAACCTCAACTTTTTGAAGTCCACTTCTAGCTAGCTGGAACCCTTCAGGATATGGGGTGTGCAACGGAGTCAGTGAAATACACTTTGGCGGTTTATTCAGCATGATGTACACTGTACATCATCCCCTTGTGATTCCTGGTAACTATCTTGGCCCTTTGAGGTAGTCACCTGTTTCCAATATTTTCTCGTGGTTGTGAATCACAGTCACAAAAGATCGTGGTCACTTCCAGAATTACTTCTTTAATCTCCGGGTGTGGCGGAGACACGGGGGTGGTGTTATTTCCAATGCATTCCTTCTTCCGCATAGCTTTGCTTTTCTGTTACAGTAAACTGCTAGGGGAAGTGACATTGCTCTCTCTTAAAATACTGCCGCCCTAAGTAAACAAGGGTAGGATCGATCGGTTGCAAGTTATTTTACCGAATGAAAACTCCTCGACCATGCCACTCACTCGACTGCAATATACGCCACTCACTGTATTTGTTTCGTGAAATGAAGTTGTCGGGACACCACCACCACCTCTTTGAACTGTATTTTTCGTCGACAAACTCTTGGTTCTGTTGCATGCACGAGAGCTGAACTGTACATGAATGGTGGTCTGGTCAGATCCGTCTCGCCTTGTCGTGCTTTTCACTTGCAAGGGGTCTCAATCCAATCACCCCAAGAGAGGCTTGTCGTTTGCTTGCTCAATGACCCTGTCTGGTCCCGTTTCAGTGCACATCCGTTACGGATTTCGGCTGGAGCAGCACCTTGCCTAATCAGGTCCGTTCCTGGCCTACCTGGTCACATGGGCGAGCAAGTGCACTGTACCCCTTGTTCTGAATGGTACAGTTCTACTTTCCGAGGCACCTTTTCCAGACCCGTGACGTCATGACCAGGTGTGTCGTAAATTGGTTCAATTTCCTCCTTACTCAATGTGCTCAACGGTAGTTGCACAAGAGTAAACATGACGGACCCTAAACTATCTTATGAGCTGAAAGGCTTGTACCTGGTTTGGGGAGAGATGATCACGTCCTATGAAACACGGACTAACAAGCTTCATTCCACGTTGTCTCAGAATAGAGCCACCTAAGTATCATAGAGTTGGAGAGCTGTTTTTCGTGGGTACTTGAATTTGAGGGTTTCTCAACAACGCCGGCCCGTCCATGTACACCCTGTTTCTCGCTACACTGAACTGTGCCGAACAGGTGGAAAACCTTGTTATCTTCTATTTGCCTAGTTTAACCATACCGAAACGTAATTTAACCACCGTTAACCGTGCTTTCCCCATCTTGATTTCATTATAACCGAATCCACAATGGCGAGAAAGAGGGTGTATTGACGACATGTCTCAACGAACCACATTCAACCATCAGCAGCGCTGGCAGTAGGCTGCCAAAGGAAAATCCAGCGGGAGCCGTCAATTTGTGTTCTGCGCCGCCACTGGGCGACTGTTGGTGTTTATCCACGACTTAGAGTGGATCACACACGACACGACACGATACCCTCCCTTTACTCTCATGCCCTGCCCAAGTCATACACCTCCTCAAGGACAAATTACCCTCACACTGTACCGTTTTCCTTCGCGTGCCTTCAGTAGGGGCCATCAAGGAAGCGAGTGGGATGACAGATGATTACGGTGTTCACACCACCACCATTTCCCGTCGTGATTCTCCATTCTCTTTCCCACTTATTCAAACCCACGCCCCATGATCGTTGTCATCTCGCGTGCCCCAAGACTCCTTGTCTTCTGTAATTGCTTTCTCGTCGTCATGCTATTGATCAAGCAAATCTTGTCGGCTGCTCGTTTGGCTTCAACAAGTGAGCGCCTGCCTGCATTCGTTCAGCTGCTCGGCTTTGAAACACACAGCTGCTGATTTGCTGTGATCACTCTTGTTTAGTATGATCATCTTCACCACACGTCGTCGCCTCAGCCACACTACGCCGACTGTTAACGCTGGTAGGAGGCCAGAAATCAGTAATACTCTGCTGAATTCACGGGTCTCGTTTGCTGCTGCTCCTACCTCGTAACGCAGTTTCCGTAGCGCACGATGCGTCGCAAGCCCAAGTGGTTTTGCTGCTCTGGCGGCGCCGTGAGCCCTTGACCCGCGTTACCACTGCGCGCCTGACGATTATGCCGAGATTAGTTTCCTCGTCGTTCCTAGTCGATTCTTGAAAGGGGCCCCTTCGACCTGAGGTCGCCGTTGCCGGGACACGATCGTGGGGAGGCAGTTTCTAATCGTTGATTTTCCACAACTGTTCATGATTCATCACCGACTGACGCCGCGCCTCCTTTTCCCGACGAAATCACCTGCTTGATCGAATTTGTCCTCGCAAGAGCGCCTAATAGCCGTTTTTTGCGACGCGACGACACGACTGGGAGAAGTAAATTTTCTTCTTCCCCTGGGAACAAGACATTTCCCATTCTCAGTCCACAATTCTCGTCGTCCTGACTTCAGCGCGTCGCACCAGCTCAACGTCTCTGAGCAGAGTTAACTCTTGGATGCATTTTACGCTCGACTCGCCAAGCCCATGACCCCGCCCTTTGCGCGGCGCGGACCGCATCAAGACAAGAAGTCCCCATCCGAATCGCCCCGAGTCGGAGCTATCGCTGCGCAGCGCGCAGGTGATCCATTTGCGGCTCTCGCTGCGGCGGTGGAGCTGGCGACCGGACTCCGCGTCGCCCACCCGATCAATTCGTCGCCGCAGCGCATTCAAACGGCTTTGTTTCAAAGCACTGGAGGCAGAGAATGCGGGGAGGGGCGAATTGGAGCCGCGCCGCGCTCAGCGGCGATGCTGGGTATCGATATCATCCCGCCAGGCGCGGCCGCGCTTGACACAGTTGCTGCGCCCGATCAGGTGCCGCCGGGAGTTACTGCGTCTGGGAGAGGCGGCGGCGGAACGGCCGCAGCTTGGTCGCCGAATGCGCCGCGTCGCGCGAAAGGGAACTTAGAATTGTTGGCCGATCGGGCGTCGCGGAACCGCCTGAAGTCGGAGGCACGTGGCGCTGCGACGGCGACGGCGGTGGAAAGAGCCGCTTCGGAAGCTGCACCGCGGCCCGCGGCGGGAACATCAGAAGCAGCAGCAGCAGCAGCAGCAGAAAGGAGCAAATCTGATCGATCTGCAGATGGGGCGAGCCGCCCCCTCGCGTCGTTCACAGAAAACCGTCCAAGTGACTTCGCGGAGGGCCGTGGGCCACACTTTCGGGACTCGGCGCGCTTCAACCTCTCCCTCAACCCGCATGGCGAAACGCCAGCGGCAGCTGCGGCCGCCGAGAGCCGCTGGCCATTGCCATGCGCGGGAATTATGGCAACAATGGCAACTATAGAGAAATGTGGTCCGTCGCTGGCAACTATAGCGTCGCGCGGCGGTCGCCCGACTGTTACTAGCGCTTTTGCTATCCCCGCCAGCCCTGGCGGCGCCGCAAGTTCCGCTCGCCCCGCCCCCGCAATTCGCGTAGATCCCGTGATGTCTGCCGGGCAGGCGGCCGCCGCCGCCGCCGCCGCGCGGGAAAGTGGCGCCGCGGATCCGATACGGAAAGCGACGTGGCAACTGAATAATGCGGCCATGGCGGCAGATAACAGCGGCAGCAGCAGGTCCGCCAAACGCGGTTCCAGTACCAGCGGTGCCAGCGGTAGCAGCGGCAGCAAGAGGAGTGGCAGCAGCTGCAGCAGGCAAGCAGGCAACGAGGCGCTTCGCGCTGCTGCCCCTGTTCGCGACCTCGTGCAATGGATCAGCCTCCCTGCCACCACCGCCACTGCCACCACCGCCACCACCACCACCGCCACTGCCACCGCTACAACCACCGGGACTGCTATAGCCGCCGCCACTGCTACAGCCGCTGCTGCCTTCCCCATGTTCCCGAAGGAGGCCGCGCCAGTCGTCCCCACCTCCGCCACCACCCGCTTCCCGCCCTGCTCTCTCCCCCATGCTCGTAACGGCGATAGCCGGGTGATGAAATGCCATGCGGCTGAGGCGGATTCGCCCACTTGCCGGCAATTTGAACGCTGGACTTTTCCCCATCCGCTGTTAAATGAATTCAGCAGCAGCGGCGGTGGCGGCGCCAGCGGCGGAGGATGGGGAAGCGGAGGGGGAAGGGGAGGGGGAGGGGGAGTTTCCATGCTGGGAATGACGAGTCCCCCGATTGCTATACCTTCCCCTGTCGCTGCTGCTCTACTAGGTAGATCACGTGCGGTGCCTTTTCCTCCGTCTCCCATTCACGTCTGCAGTCCTGCTGGTGCTGCTGAGTTTGCGGGGCTTGTTGCATCGGCTGCTCTCCCGTGGAAAGGAGGGGGTGTGCAAGTGCACTTGCACGCTCCGACGAGGCCCAGAGGGGCCAGTGGCACGAGGGAGTGTCAGATTCGACCTGCCCTGCAAGTGACACCTGGAACTGTTGCTACCGCTGCTGCCACTCCTGCTGCTGCTGCTGCTGCTGTGGCGCCTGCTGCTGTGTGTTCTGGTGGGGCTGGCGGTGGTGTTGCTGCGGCAGCGTCGGCCCCCCCAGGAGCAGGTAATCACTCTCTCGTGCTCTGTGATACGACCTGCCCCAGTAACAGCCGTTTCAGCACTGACGAGCACCAGGCTGGGAACTCCAAACCCCGTGGTGCAAGCACCGGTGGTGACGCGAGGCGAGACGAGGGGCGGGAGGAAACGAGAGCCTGGCGTGGGGAGGGAGCAGGGCAGCGAGAGGGAGCCGGAGGAGGCGGAGGGGGAAGGGAAGGATCGGGAATCGGCGTGTGGGGTGCGGGTGCTGCTGCTGGTGGTAGTGGGAGAGCGGGGGTGGGGAGAGGGGAGGAGGGAGAGGGGATGAGAGGTGGAGAGCGCTTATGGTGGCAAGGACAAAGGTGTGAAGGGCAGGAGTCTGGTGCTGGGAAGGAGGAGGAGGAGGCGGAAGAGGAGGCGGAAGGGGGGGAGGTAAAGGAGGAGGAGGAAGAGGAGGCGACTGGTAGGGAGGCAGAGGCAACAGGCGAGGAGGGAGGAGGAGGGGGAGCGAAGGGCGGCGGTGGCAGAGCGAGCTTGTGGGGTGACAGTCCCAAGGGTGCTGCACTTGAAACAGCTTTGCAGGCTCTTACTGCGCGTGCCGCTCCTGCTCCTGCTGCCTCTGCTGAAACTGGCGCTGCTGGGGGCGATGGCATGCATATGCCTGCTGCTGCTGCTGGCAGCGCAGGAGGCGGACTGGAGGAGTGCTTGCGTTGGTGGATGGGCGGGGGTGGCATGAGGAGGGGGTTTGCAGCAGCAGTGGGTGACATCAACACACGTATGGCCATGGCTCCCACCACTGCCACGCCTGCTGTGGATGCTGCTGCTGCTACTGCTGCTACTGCTGCTGCTGCTGCTGATGCTGCTGCTGCTGCTGCTGCTGCTGCTGCTGCTGCTGCTGCTGCTGCTGCTGCTGCTGCTGCTGCTGCTGCTGCTGCTGCTGCTGCTGCTGCTGCTGCTGCTGCTGCTGATGCTGCTGATGCTGCTGCGGGTACGAGAAGTGTTCCCATGGGGGTGTTGACATGGCCTGGCGGCGTTGAGGCAAGGGGGCAGAAGCGCAGAGCGGACAGTGATGCATGGGGGGAGGGGCGTGTGAGGGATGCGCGTGCGTGGGTGCAGGGACGGATGGATCGCCACACGCTGTCTGGCTCTCTGGGAGACTTGACAACAACACACCACCCTGCCGCCCCTGCTGCTGCCACGGCCCCCACTGCTGCCACTGTCGTTGCCCCGACCACAACTGATTCTATCGCTGCTGCTGCTGATGCTTCTGCTGCTGCTGCTGCTCTGAGTGCGGCTGCAGCAGGAGCATCGGCTCCCTCTGCGCCCCTTCCCTCGGACTGGCTCAGGCTGTGGTCCGTTGGAACGCATCGATCGTACGGACCACAGGCGTTTGCTGTCACGGAGGAGCAAAGGCGAGTGGGAGCGCATGAAGAGATCGAGGCAGAGGGAGGAAGAGGAGGTATGGCGAGGGATGACAACGCATTTGCAGGAAGGCTTGAGGCCACTGGAGGTTTTGCTGCTGCTGCCGCTGCCGCCACAGCTGCTGCTGGTGCTGCTGCTGGTGGTGGTGCATCTGCTGCTGCTGCTGGTGCTGCTGCTGGTGGTGGTGCATCTGCTGCTACTGCGTCTGCACCTCCTGCTTCTCCTGCGCCTCCTGATTCTAGTGGAGCAGGTTCTGGCCCTCAGGAACCCTCCCAGACACCCTACTTCTCCCTCACCGCCTTCCCCCCCGCTCTGTTTCCTCTGCCAGAGTCCTCCCCAGCACAGGTCACCGCCACAAGCAGCACTCTCAATCGATCCTCTCTTGCTGCTGCGCCCACTCTCCCCTCCCCTCTCCGCCCGTCCTCGGCCCCACTCCCTTCCCCCCTCTCCACTCTCCCCTCCTCCTCTTCGTCACTCAAACCGCCTTCACACTCCGCGTCCCTCACCTCCCTCGCTACCCCCGCTCCCCTCACCAGCCGCCCACCAGCGTTCGTTTCCGCGCAGCAGCCCTCGCGACTGCTGGAGCACCTGCAGTCGGTACTGCAGTCATCCCACGGCATAGGGGCAGCACTACGGGCTGCGCTCGCCCAGAGTGGCTCTGGCAGACAGTTCGACAGTGGCGGGACGGCGGGGGCAGCAGGGGGGGTAGGAGGAGCGGGGGCAACAGGGGCAGCAGGGACAGAAGCTGCAGGTGCAGCTGACGCAGGAGGTGCACCTGCGTGGGGTGGTGGCGCAGGAGCAAGAGGAGCATGGGCGGAGGAGCTGGGAGGGGTAGTGAGGGGAGAGGTGTGGGAACAGGGAGGGGGAGAGGCGAGGGAGGAGGGCGCTGGGATGTTGAGTGAGGGAGGAGAAGCAAGGGAGGTGCGGAGCCAGGGTGCTGCTGCTGATCCAATCACGGAAGGCTTGAGCCGCATGCAGGCAGTGCTGCAGGCACAGGCACGGGCGCAGGCGCAGGCACAAGCACAAGCACAGGTACAGGCACAAGAACAGGCCCAGGCACAGACACAGGCACAAGAACAGGCAGATGCACAGGCAAACGCACAGGCGCAAGCACGGGCGAAGGAACGGGCACAGGCACAGGCACAGGCACAGGCACAGGCACAGTCACAGGCACAGGCACAGGCACAGGCACAGGCACAGGCACAGGCACAGGCACAGGCACAGGCACAGGCACAGGCACAGGCACAGGCACAGGCACAGTCACAGGCACAGGCACAGGCACAGGCACAGGCACAGGCACAGGCACAGGCACAGGCACAGTCAGGGTTGCAGTCTGGTGGTCTGGCTGAGGCGGTGGTGGTGGCGCCGTTTTCCGGGCGGCTGCGCGTGCAGCAGGGGCAGCAGAAGCGCGTGGTGGTGCGCACGCAGTGTGGCGAGAACGACGTGCTGAGGGACGGCCACAAGTGGCGCAAGTACGGGCACAAGGAGATCAAGAACTGCCCCTTCCCCAGGTAGGCAGGCGCGTGCGGGTGGGGAGAGTCCTTTCATGGCCACTCCTTCCCTTCACCAGGAGCTACTACAAGTGCGGGTACCCCGGTTGCCACATCAAGTCACACGTTTTGTTAGTCAACTAAACATATGATCCAATCCCTCCTTTCGTGCCACTCCTTCTCTTTCACCAGGAGCTACTACAAGTGCGGGTACCCCGGTTGCAACATGAAGAAGCACGTACAGCGCTGCCCTTCCAACCCTGCCATGGTGGTTACCACATACGAAGGGGAACACAGCCACACCCCCACTGACGACCCTGCTGCTGCTTCTGCTGCTGCTGCTGCTGCTCAGGCTAATGCTCATACCAGTGTTTTTGCCAGTGCTAATGCTGCCGTTAGCGCTGCTGCTGCCTTGGGTGCGGCAATGAGTGAGGCGGCGGGAGTGGGGGCAGGAGGTGGAGGAGGAGTGGGCTGGGGAGCAGGGTCAAAGGGAGAGGAGAGATTCCCTTTTCAGGCAACTAGCTCCGACTATACTGGGACTGCTTCTGCTGCCCCGTCTGTGTCTGCCGTCTCTGCTGCTGCGGCTGCTGCTGCTGCAGCTGCTGGTGCGGGTGGGGGGATGACAATCAGTGCATCGGAGAGAGAGGGTGGGAGGGATGGTGCGTTGCAGCGCATGCTGCTGCTCATGCAGGGAGGAGGCATGGCTGCGGAGAGCAAGAGCAGCGGGGCAGGACCTGCTTCCGCTGCTGATGTGCCTGCTTCTGCTGCTGCTGCTGCTGGAGAGGGGACGAGGCAAGGGTTGGTGAGGCAGGGTGGGGATGGTGTGGAGAGAAGGGACGTGGAAGGAACAATGCAGGACCTCGCCTCTCCAACCTCGAATTCTCTCCTCGGTGCTTCGACTGCTTCTTCCGCTGCTGCGTCTTCTCGTTTTGCAGCAGCAGCAGCAGCAGCAGCAGCTGCTGCTGCTGCGGCGGCGCCCACGGGGTGTGCGCCTGGAATGACAGCGCGGAGTGGATGGGCGAGGCTGATGGCTATGGAGGCAGCCAAGCTGAGAAAGAGAAACGCTGCTGCTGCTGCTCTTGGCCCTGCGGCTGCTGCCCCTGCTGCTGCTTCTGGCCCTGCTCTTCCTGCGCGTGCTCATGCTGCTGCTACTGCTGCTACTGCTGCTCCTGCTCCTGCTCCTGCTCCTGCTCCTGCTCCTGCTCCTGCTCCTGCTCCTGCTCCTGCTCCTGCTCCTGCTCCTGCTCCTGCTCCTGCTCCTGCTCCTGCTCCTGCTCCTGCTCCTGCTCCTGCTCCTGCTGCTGCTGCTGCTGCAGTCGCTACTGGTTCCACTGCTGCTCTTTCGGCTGCTAATACCATTACAGAAGGAGGAGGAGGAGGAGGAGGAGGAGGAGGAGGAGGAGGAGGAGGAGGAGGAGGAGGAGGAGGAGGAGGAGGAGGAGGAGGAGGAGGAGGAGGAGGAGGAGGAGGAGGAGGAGGAGGGGGAGGAGGAGGAGGAGGGAGTTCCAACTCTCTGCTTGCTGTTCTTTCCGCGCACAATCTCAGCCCCAGAACAGCAGCACAGTTTCAGCTCAACACACTCGCCAGCGTTGCAGCACACACTCAGCCCCTATCCATGTTCCCTCCTCCCAGGCCCGTCCTCTCTCTCTCCCCAACCAAAACCCGGTCCACTACCAAGGCAGCCAGCAGCAGCAGCACTGATGCACACGCAATGAGCACAGGCGGCGTGGGAATGGGCATGGGCGTGGTCATGGACCGAGTCACTCCAGACTGGAAAGCGGCAGCAGCACCTGCTGTTGCCACGGCTGAGGGGTCTGAGCCTGCTGCCAGCCCCACAAGCATCGCCATACCCCTGACCAGTCATGCTCCTGCTGCCTTCAACCCAGCTCTGATCACCCGTTCCTCCTCACACTCCCTGCCTTTCCATCCCCTGACATCATCTGCTGCTGCTGCTGCTGTGGCGGCGGCCCCTGCTGCACCTTCAACATCAGCAGCTGCTACCATGACAGCTGTATCAGCTTTTGGTAGGAGCACTGCCGGAGCTCTTGCTGCTGCTGGTGGCGAGGCCTTTCCGTTTTCACAGCTGGCTGACATGGCTCCACCTCATGCGCCCCTTGCTGTCCCCTCGTTCAACGCTCCACAAACTGGAGGCACAGCAGCGTCAGCCACATTGGCATTCAGTGCAACCACCAGAACCGCCACACTGACCCGCTTGGCCCCCCCGTTTGTGTCGTCTTCCATTGCACCGTCACCTCTCGAGGCAAGGGAGGGCCAAAAGCCTAATTCAGGTGCGGGCTTGCCCTTGGCATCCGTTTTCCTGTCCCTTGAAGATGGTCAGAGGGAACATGCGCACACACAGACACAGTCACATTTACAAGCACAAGGGAATGCATCTGGGACAACAGAAGCCTCTGGGACAGCAGCAGCGGCAGCGGCAGCAGCAGCAGCAGCAGCAGCAGCAGCAACAGGGTCAACCGGAAGCAGCTCAGGACCCAAGCTGTTTGGGAGATTGTTACAGTGACAAATTCTTCCAAGGTTGGAAGCTACCCACCTTTTTAATGTCCCATTTTTGACCTTTATATCCCTACGCAGCTGCCCCTACCATTGGGCATATGTTATGTCAATTTTGCAGTTTAGTTACTAATTGGCAACCTTGTAGTGCTTTTCGGAGTTGCTTGCTGTTCTAGTTGGACTTGTTTTCTGTTTACTATATCTCCCTCGTACGGTGGGGTAATTACCATAAGACATGTATGTGTTTTTCTCATTTCATTTCGCTTAATGTAACAGCTCAATGTTCCGCAGCTGCTCATTCCCCCTCCCAAGTCTGCCGCAGAATGTCTCTGCTGTGTGCACAGAACTATCTGTAACTTCAGCGAGTGACAGAAAGCCACGTGGCGTACTGTATTTCAAACTTCGCGCCTGACCCTCCTGAGTTCCTTGTTCCAGCGTCTGCTGGCGTTAGCAGTTGCCTGGCAACTGTGCTGCACCAGTTTCCCCCCTAAGGTCAAGCCCAACCACGCGATCTGACATCCCATTGGCCCGCCAGAATCCGCACCATCTCAAATCATGCATCTGACTCTTCTGACCTGCCCGTACCCGAAAGCACCGCCCCCACGGGATGGTCACATTTTCGTCTACCGAATCGCATCGCATCGAATTCGGGTCGCATCGCGCGTTACAGAAGGTACGCAGAACACAGAGCTTGTTTTCCCTCATTTGCTTAGGTTTCATTCTACTACAGACCAGAAGTAGTAGATAACTCGAACATATGACCTTCGTCCTTAGCTGCTCCCTCGTTACACATGGTCGCAGACGTCTTTCAGCAGAGAACTTATTGTTGGTCTGGAAACTAGCTGCATGGTTTCCTCTCTGACTTTCCAGCTTCAGGCTAAAAGGTGCTGGCGTAATCTTCAGTAGTTCATCTCTCCCTCCCACCATAAGCCATGGCGCGATCCGGGCTTCTGAATCGACTTCAACCCCGATCGTTTGGATCACCTCTACTCATTACCCTCACTCTGTTCGTCGTCAGCCTCCTGCCGCCCTCCGCTGCATTCCCCTCGTTCCACCCTCATCCCATGAAGCCGCGCGAGTCGCAACAGCTCATGTTCCGGAAATTCCTCCCCGCCAGCAAACACAGCGTGAACTCCCTGCAGTCAGATTCCGACTCTCACGCTCCATACGGTCCCGATTCCGGGGAAGAAACTTTAAGCCAGGAAACCAGCGTGACCGCGTCGCAGCCTCCCGTTTGCGGCGGAGCTGGTGTTTCCGGCGATCCGTCCGCTGCTGGGAGGCCTTGCCGCATGGCACTGACCCAGCCTGCCAGCGGCGGCTCGAGGACAGACTCCTCACCCACGGAAAGAGCCAGCGACGCGAACAGACTTCTATTGGACAACTCAGCAGCCGCCGCGAAGCGTGGAGGGGAACTCGGCGACGGCAGCAGCGCCACGGACGACGCTGCCGGCGGCAGCAACGGCATCGGCGACATGGTCGCGCGGATCGCGCAGATCAGAACAGCCGCTGTGGCGGGCGGAAACGGTGACCTTGAGGAACCCGACGCGGCTCGGGTCAACTCGCGCTCACGGGATTTCGGCGACATGTCGTTGGAGCCGCTGCAGAAGGCGAAGAATGCGAACTTGGACGAAATTCTGGCGCGCTCCGGTGGTACAAATGCTGATTCAGACCCCGATGACAGCGCGTCTGAATCTACTGTCAGTGGTGAGGCGAAACCTTCGGAGGGAGTGGCGGACGGCGGGAAGGTAACAGGCGAGGCGGGCGGAGAGCGCGAGAGCGAGAACGACGCGGGAGCGGATGGTGATGCGGGCGATAAGGCAGAAGTGAATGATGCGGAGGAGGGGGAGACGGAGAACGAGGTGACGGGACAGGGGGTCCAGGGATCTTCTTCAAATGTGGTGATGGTGTCGGGGGTTGACGAGGAAACAGTCAAGACGCCGGAGGCGGGTGCGAACGACCAGGAGGAGGACGACGAGGAGCAGCAGCAGGAGGGGGGGAGCCAAGTGGAAGTGGGCGGAGTGAAGCCCGGAGCCGGCAAGGGAGAGATTGCGTCCGCCAACGACAACGGCGACGGGCGACGGCCGCTCGTGGCGTCCGTGTCTGGTTCCGCTGCCACGTCGCATGAGCCTTCGCCAACTTCGGACGCGTCGCAGGAGTCGCAAGAATCGAAGGAGTCGCCTGAGACATCGCTCGGTGCAGCGGACTTGGAGGTGGTGGGCGTGCCGCAGCTGACGGAGATCGACCGCACTTCAGGCGACGTGCGGCTGACGCTCGACCAATACGCAGGATGTGAGGCGCATTTGCATCTACACACCCACCCACCCACGCGCACACGCACACGTGCGCGCACACTCGCGAACGCGCACGCGCATATGCGCGTGCAACCACAATCACCCGATTTCCGCCCCTATTATTTACCATCCAAGCGCGGGGTTTGTCGCCCTCTACTCTTCCCGTCGTCCACCTTCCCCATCTGCTCCACCGACAATCCACACCCTCGCTTCCGCTCATCTGCCCCCATCCCCCATTCGCCCATTCCCCTTGATGCGCGCAGTGGGCGCTGTTAACTCCAAGTCGTACCTGCGGTACGGGTTCGTGTCGGCGCGGATCAAGGTGCCGCCCGTGTACTCGGGGAGCGTCATCACCACGCTCTATGTGAGTCGATATCACGGCAGGCTGCGTCGTCTTGATTGTCTGTGCTTGTGAAGCAGAGGTGACCGACCGCTGCTGCGTAGACCGCCAGAGCGGACTGTGGAGGAGACACTGAATGGCATGCCGGCATGTTGGCATGCCCTCTCTACCCTCTTCCTTGCCACCCATGTCATCCCGCCCCATCCCGCCCCATCCCGTCCCATCCCACCCGACCCACTCCTGCGGCTCAACGCCCTCCCTCCAATCCCTCTTTCGCCCTCCCTCTTTTCGCCCTTTCCCGCCCGTGCCCGTTACCAGCTCACAAGCAAGCTGCCTGGGCGGCACGACGAGATAGACTTTGAGCTGATAGGCAGCGAGAGCCCGAGCGGCATCCGCATCCACACCAACTACTACGCCAACGGCAAGGGCGGGCACGAGGAGCAGATGCAGCCGTGGTTCGACCCCACCAGTGAATTCCACACGTACAGCGTGCGCTGGTCACCCGAGGCTATTGTGTGAGTCGCTGCCTCCTACTCCCCTGTCCCATCCCATGCCGCTTGTCCTTCTTTTTTACTAATCCCTGCTCCCTGCTTCCTGCTCCGTAATGTATCTCCCCTTGTCCATTGTCCCTTGTCCTTCTTCCCTTGTGCCCCTGCTCTCTTCCTCCTTTCTCCCATGTCTCGCGTCACAAGACCCCTCTCTCTACTCTACAGTTGCCATGATGCCTCTAGTGCCAAGCTGATGCAGCAATGATTAACCCCTCCTGTTCTTTCCCCATCCCTGCCCTCAGCTGGTATGTGGATGAGCGCCCCATACGAGAGACGCGCTTCAACCCGCACAACCCAGCAGTCGGTGTGGTGTCGCCACTGCGCGTGTGCGCAAGCATCTGGTCCGCGGACTGGGCTATGCCTCCTGTACGCTCGCCTCCCCGTCCTGCGTCGCCTCTTCTTCCTCCTCCTATTCCTCCTTGCCTTCTCTCACCTGCCACCTCGAGTTAAATGCCCTTATCTTGGCGTTTCATTTAACATCCCTTCCCTTTGCAATGCCATACCATTCCCTCTTCCGCTGCTCTTGTGCTATTGTGTTGTTGCGCTGTCAGGCGTTCTTTCTCTCGTGCAACACCTTTGCATCACCGTTTCTGGCACTGTACCAAGATTGCCATCAGGCCGTTGTTCCAACCACTCCTCCTTTCCCTTGCTCCTTCCCTTGCTTCTTCCCTCTGCACCTTCACCTTGTTCCTTCCCTGTGCCGTTTCGCTGTCAGATGGATTGGTCATACGGCCCGTTCACAGCCCAGTACCAGGAATTCAACTTCTCCTCCTCCAACCGCTCTCACACCAAGAGCTCGCCCACCACCAGCACCAGAAGCAGCAGTGGGGTGGGAAAGGGGCTGGGGGAAGAGGGACTGAGTGCGCAGGAGAGGGCGGATATGCAGCAGGTGCGAGCGCAGTACTTAACATACTCCTATGTGGACTTTTACAAGGAGCTGGCTAGGAAGGAAGCTGGGAGGGTAACTGCTTCGTCTTCCTCTCCGTCTCCCTCTCCTACAACTACTCCTCCTTCTCCTTCTCCTCCTCCTTCTCCTTCTCCTTCTCCTTCTCCTTCGCTCTCTCCGTCCCCTGCTCCTTCGGCTGAGATCAACAATGCAAAGAGGGATAGGAGTAAGACGGAGGGGGGCAAGAGGGATGGGGGAGGGGGGGGGAGCGAGGGAGAGGTTGGCAAGACATTGGGGGAGGCTGACACTGCTGCTGCTCCTAAAGGCGTTGCTGCTCCCAAGAGTGCTGCTGCTCCCAAGAGTGCTGCTGCTCCCAGGAGTGCTGCTGCTCCCAAGAGTGCTGCTGCTCCCAAGAGTGCTGCTGCTCCCAAGAGTGCTGCTGCTCCTAAGAGTGCTGCTGCTCCTAAGAACGACACTGCTCCCAAGGGTGCCATGGTCAACAAAGACAAATAAGATGCGAACTAGACAGCCTCGGTGAAGCAGGCCTGGCGGGGCAGCAAGAGTAGCGTCAATAGACTCTTTGGCGGATATATAGAAAGTGATACTGGCGTCAGGCTAATTGCACTCCCTCGTTAGCCTCGGACAATGTTGTACCGTACATTACACGGAGTGTACTTGGTTAGTGGTGTGCTGGTAGTAAGGTGGAGACAGCCAATGCTGACGATCATTCAAAAATTCACTTCCTTGTTGAATCGAGTGGTACCAGGTATGATTTCATTGGTGGATATTGATCCCTGGTCATTTCATTATGCACCAAAGGAGCCATAACTATCTAGATTAAACGGCGATTGACTAAACAGCGCATGCTTATCGTACTTCACGAAGTGTATAAAACCCATTATGTCCGCGTACAAGACTCGGACCGTTTTCTTCGTCAGTTACCGTATCGGCTAACGGTGTTCGCAATGTCTGTTACTAAACCACCAAAGGGTTGTGTAGGCATACGTCGCGGAAACGGCCCAGGCCGCGCTGCCAGCTCTGCATAATATAGCCTAAGTTCGTGTGGTACCGTTATATGTTTGCTAGCCAGTCAATGCTACATAGCTCTGTTGGGCTGAGAAAAGCCCTTAGGATCTTTGCAAGGCTAAACTCTGGGTAGAACTTGTTGTAAATGCGGAAGCGTATAATGAAGTGCTTAAACCACCTTGCGCTAGTATGTGAGGGCAAAGTAGATCGATTAAAGCAAGGAGATACAGGCTTTTATAAGAGTACAAGGGAATACAAACAGTTCTAGCTAATAACTGTTTTGCTGTTGCTGTTGCGGTTCGATACAGTGTCGACTCGGGCAACTGCTCAGTAATGAGTCAGTTGTTTGTGTTGGGCTGAAAAAAGGCCCTTAGGATCTTTTACAGGGGTGAACTCTGGGTAGAGTTGGTGTAATAGCGGAAGCGTCAATTAAAGAGTTGTGAACCACCTTGCGCTAGTATGTGAGGGCAAAGTAGATTGATTACAACTAAGAGATACAAGAATATATATAAGAGTACAAGGAATACGAAGAGGTACGGTTGTAACTACTTTACTGTTGCTGTTGCGGTTCGATACAGCGACGACTCGGGCAACTGCTCTGTAGCGAGTCAGTTGTGTGTCCTTGCTGTCGCGCTGTATTTGTCTGGTCAAAGGTCGCTGACCTTTGACTTCCCCGTAACCTCCAGCGGTTGCTTCAACCTCCGAGGGTTGACTCGCCGGTGCTTCGATATGCTCTGCTTCATTTGTGCCTTAGTGTTTCGACACGACAGAGGCGCCTAAGACCGATTGTTTCCAACACTCCCCTTCGCTTCTGGAGTGTCGCTGCTGGTGACGTGGCTCTGTCCAGTCAGCAGCATGCAGTACTCAAACTTCTGCTTTCCAAGCTTCTTGGTCTGGTAGTCAGCTGCCATATCGGACGTGGGGCAGTATGACAGCTCGAGTCTCCCTTTCTCGATCTCGTCCTTCACGAAGAAATATCGCAGGGCGATGCGTTTCGTCCTGTTCGCGAAGCCGCTTTTGTTGGCGATGCGAATTGCCGACTGGTTGTCGCAGAACAGAGTGAAGCTGGGTAACTGAGCCAGCTTCGCTTCTTCCAGCAGTTCGCGAAGGTAAAGTCCTTCCTTGGTGGCTGAACAAAGTGCAATATATTCTGCTTCGGCTGACGAGAGAGCTATTAATTCCTGCTTGCTCGACTGCCAAGAGATAGGTCCGATAGGTTCGAGGCGGTTGATGTAGCCAGTGCGAGAACGCCTGTTGTCGGGATCGCCAGCGTGATCGGCGTCGACGTAGCCGATTAACTTAGGCGGCGTAGTTGCGTTCTTGTAATAAGTTAAGCCGATCGTTGAGGTGCTGACGAAGTAGTGAAGAGCGCGGTCGAGTTCCGCTAGGTGTTCCGCTTCGGGCCTCTTGAGGTAGGTGGCGAGTTGGCTTGCGGAGTATGAGAGGTCGGGGCGGCAAGTGACAGCTGCGAAGAGAAGACATCCCAGCTTTTTCTGGTAGTCTCGTATGCTGGCGGGCTTGAGTAGAGCGGAGCCTTCCTTGTTGTTTCCTGACGTGTAGTGGTATGGCGTGGAGATGGCTGTCGGTGTGAGCGTAAAGCGTTTAGCGATGGTGTCGGCATATTTCTCGGCGCTGAGGTAGATCGCGTCCTCCTCTTCCCGGATGTTGAGGCCGAGATACTGAGTGACGGTAGATGAAACTGTGAGCGTGAGATCTCGCGGCAGCTCCCCTTCGAAGCAGGTAGTGATGCCGTCAGTTGAGCCGATGTAAAGGAGATCGTCCACGTAGACGATTAGTAGGATGTAGTCGTCGTTTTCCGTGAGCCGGTACATGCCTTGATCGTGCGGTAGTTGCTTGAAGCCGATGCGGATGAGGCGAGCGTGCAGGAACTGTTGCCACAGTCGCGGAGCCTGCTTGATGCCGTAGAGTGACTTGAGTAGCTGGCAGACTTGGTTAGGTTCTCTGTGGGAGCCATGCGGTAGCTCGACGAAAATTTCTGCATCAACAGGTGCGTAGAGAAACGCGTTCGCGACGTCAATTTGCCGCAGCTTTTTCTTCTTCATGGCGGCGATTGCGAGGAGAATGCGTAGTGAGGTGTGGCGGCTAACCGGAGCGAAAGTTTCGGTGAAGTCGCGTCCGTGTTCTTGGTCGAAGCCGCGCACGACCCATCGTGCCTTGAATTTGTCAATGGTGCCGTCAGCCTTCGTCTTCACGCGGAAGACCCATTTCCCGGTGAGAATGGTCTTGTTCCGTGCTACGCCGATGGGAACTACTTTCCACGTGTTGCGTTCCTCCAGTGCCTTCAGTTCCTTGTCCATGGCTTCGCGCCATTTTTCCTTATGCTCCCCCCCCAGAGCCTGTTGAACTGTCGCAGGCTCTTTAGGAATGGCTGCGCCGTGGACTGCGGTGACGAGACCGAGGATTTGGAGCCCACTCTGTGTGTAGCGAGGGAGTGAAGTATCCTCTGGATAAACTGCTTCGTCTCCCGCTTCTGGATCAGGTGCGAAGTTAGGTCCTACGCGTTCTGCTTCGTCGGTGTTGACTTGTGCAGGTGTAACGTAACCGTTGTCGGCGAAGTGGTAAAAGGCTTTGGCGTTGTTGCTTTCGCGTGGATTTTCGTCATCCATTGGGACATCGACGGAACAGTACGGGAGGGGTCCGGCTTCTTCCGAGGCTCCTTCCACGTTCTGCTCGTCCCAGTCAGCTTCGTCTTCTGCCGAAGCGAAGGCTCGGTCTCCACGGAAGCCACCTGTGGGGTCTTGGTTTTCGTTCAGGTTGGCAAGGTACGTTTGCAAGGTGAGCCGCTCGTAGAAAATGACATCACGTGCTGCCACTGTTTCTTTTGTCTCGACGTCGAAAATCTTCCATGCGTTGTAGTGTTTTTCGATGCCCAGGTGTAGTCCCCACTGTGCCCGTTGGGAGAATCGTCCTGCTCGTGCAGATGGAGGTCGGTACTGTACCATGCAGCCGAAGACTCGTAACATTTTTGTGCTGCCCAGTTTTCCTGTCCACAGCAGATGCGGTGATGTGTTGTTCGGTAGTGACGACGAAGAAAGCAAGTTGTGCAGCATCACGGCGTGGTCCATTGCTTCTGGCCACTGGTGAGTGGGTAGCCGCATGCCACGTAACAGTTTCCGCATGGTCTTCTGGAGGGTCCTGTTCATCCTCTCTGCTACACCCTGCTGTTGATGGGCGTAGGGAAGGGAAATGAGCCGCTTGATTCCTCTTTCAGCCAAGTACTGCTTGAACCTCTATGAGGTGTATTCTCCTCCCCCGTCTGACTGGAAGCTCTTTAGTTTGACGCCCGATTCCCTTTCTGCTACGGGGAGCCAGGCGACGAACGCTTCGAATGCCATATCCTTGCTTGGAAGATTTAGGTGCCAAACGTAACGTGTCGCGGCGTCGATGAACGTGATGGTGTAGTTGTATGTGTTCTGCCCCGGCTCGCGATTGTACAAGATGTCGCTGTACACCTTCTCGAGTGGCGCGTAAGCTGGTGCGCTTGGGTTATGGTGAGACGCGAACGGTCGATGTGGTAAGTCACCTTCAGGGCAGGTGAAGCACGTTCCGCGTACTCGTTGAAGTTCTCTTCCGTCGGTCAGTAGTAGTGAGTCCTTGTCAAGTACTCCTGCTCTTATCGTATTATTTAATACTGTGTTGCTTGGGTGTCCCATCCTTGCGTGCCAGGTGCTTTCGTCGGCGCGATGTCCGGGTGATCGTCGGTACAGATCGGAGTTGGAGTAGAAGTTGGCGGTGAAGTTGGCGCTACGATGAACTTCTCGTGGTGCTGGGTGTAGTTGTTGCGCGGGTGTCGGTGGTGTGTCGTCGATGAGGAGCGGTGCCGTTGAAGGACCAGCAATTGGTGTTGACGTTCCTGCTGCTGCCGTTGATGGTTCTGCTACTGCCGATGTTGTCTCTGCTGCTGCCGATGTTGTCTCTGCTGCTGCCGATGTTGTCTCTGCTGCTGCCGATGTTGTCTCTGCTGCTGCCGGTGTTGTCTGAATTGTTGCTAACGCCCTTGTTCTTTCTGCTTCAGGGATGGTGTGTGAGTACCAGAAGCCTTCTGGACTGAAGTCTGGATCAAGGTCTGGAGGGTGTGTCCAGTTGGTGAAGTTAACGATGGCGTCGCTGTCGGCGGTGCCAAGATCAGGAACGAAGTCAAGAACGAAGACGTTGTTCTTGAGGACCGCCTTGCCGATGTAAAGTCCTCCTCTCCCGTGATACAGCTTGAATTCTTGGGTGGTGCTGTCTGCCTCGAGGTGAATGCCCTTCGCCATCAACTGACTGACGCTCAGTAAGTTGTAGCCGAGTCCCTCCGCGATTAGTACCTTTGACATCTGCAGTATAACGTTTGTTTCCCTTGACTGAAGTTGAACTACGCCTTGTCGTCGTGTTCGCAGGTTCTGATTGTTGGCGACTGTAATGACGACTTCGCGTTGAAGTTGGTGTTCTCGTTGAACGAAGCGTCCCGAGGAGCACATGTGCTGTCCGCAGCAATTGTCCAAGAACCATGTGTCCTTTCTGGATGGTTCGCTTTGGGCGATGGCGGCGTATGTCGGGTTCGCCTGAAGTTACTCGCGGCGGGGTGTGGTTTCGTCGAGTTGTTCTTCCGGTGAGTAGTGTGGTGGTGACCCGGTGATGCAGGAGTCACTCAGCTTTGCCATGCAGCTGACGATGTTTCTTGTTCCTTGTGCAGGTTGTCCCGTTGAAGTTGTTGAAGCTTGAACCTGAGTCGTGAGATTTGCTTGCGTTGAGGCGATTTGGCTGCTTGAAGGTCGAAGTTGCCGCTGTGGAATTGTTGACTGTTGACGATTCGGGCAGTGCGTGCGCGGGTGCCCTGATATCTTGCAGATGTGGCAGAACGGAGGTACTGGCTTCGGTTGCTGCTGCCGGTTGTTGTTGTTGTTGTAGCGTCGCTGAGTGTGGAACGCGAATTCCGGTGCTGATGTCTTCTTTTTGTGTCGTTCTTCTTGCAGATCCATGTCTTGTTGCTCGGCGTGGATTTCGGCGCAGAGTGCTGCTTCGGAGATTCTTCCATGTGCTCGGAGAATAGCTTTCGTGGCGCGCCATTGAGGACCGAGGCCGCCGATGATAACTGTCACGAAGGCGTCTTCAGATATCGACCCTCCGCATCGAAGGAGCTTGTCGCGCAGTTCGCGACAGGGGCTGATATATGCCATTCCCTTTTCTCCCGGTTTCATTTCAACTGTTGTCAGTTGCGCCATTAACCGACTTTGACTTACGCTGTCTGTTGCTTGATACAGGCTCTTCAGGTGGTTGTACGCGATCTCCGCGGAGTTGCCGTAACCCCGGTAAGATCGTATGTTCTGCTGTTGAGTCGGGGTGATGTTCCTCAGTATAATCGTGTACGCCATCATTGACTGATAGGTGTACTGTTGCTTCTCGTACTGTGTGCCGTTTGTTGGGTATGGCAGGGACCCGTCGAAGAAGCCAAGTATCTGCGCGCCTTCCATCATCAGCTCGAATTCAAACGACCAGGTGAAGAAGTCCTTTCCATCGAATGGTCTTGTGGTCTGCATCTTCAGAACGTGTGCGAACTGCGACTGAACTTGTAATGCGTCCAGTGACCTTTCTTGTCCAGGTGAAGGCTGCGGGTGTGGCATGAAGCTGATGGACCCGCGTTCGTACGGAGCAAAGGTAGGCTGTTGTTGTTGATTTCCTCGTGCATATGATGAGCCGTCGAGACTCATAGGCGTTGCTCCGTTGTTGTTGTTGTTGTATGACTACGCAGGTGCCGATTGCTGGTGTTGCTCGTAGAAGGACATGAAGGAGAAGAACTTCTCCATCATGCTCTGGTCGAAGTCTGCAGGTTGGTTCGTGGGAGTCTCGGTAGACGTCGCCCTTGGTCTCGTTGCCGTGCCCTCCTCTGTCTGTAGGCCAGAGGCAGGAGGTGGAGTAGGTGTAGTGCCCTGGGAGCCGTTGGAGTTGCTCCTTTCTTTTTGTGTAGCCATGCCTGTTGATGTTCTCGGTATAGAAGTTGAATTCCCCCTGATAGCTCTCATACGATGTTGGGCTGAAAAAAGGCCCTTAGGATCTTTTACAGGGGTGAACTCTGGGTAGAGTTGGTGTAATAGCGGAAGCGTCAATTAAAGAGTTGTGAACCACCTTGCGCTAGTATGTGAGGGCAAAGTAGATTGATTCAAACAAAGAGATACAAGAATATATATAAGAGTACAAGGAATACAAAGAGGTACGGTTGTAACTACTTTACTGTTGCTGTTGCAGTTCGATACAGCGACGACTCGGGCAACTGCTCTGTAGCGAGTCAGTTGTGTGTCCTTGCTGTCGCGCTGTATTTGTCAGGTCAAAGGTCGCTGACCTTTGACTTCCTCGTAACCTCCAGCGGTTGCTTCAACCTCCGAGGGTTGACTCGCCGGTGCTTCGATATGCTCTGCTTCATTTGTGCCTTAGTGTTTCGACACGACAGAGGCGCCTAAGACCGATTGTTTCCAACAGTTTGTCCTTGCTGTCGCGCTGTACTTGTCAGGTCAAGGGTCGCTGACCTTTGGTTTTCGTGTAACCTCCAGCAGTTGTTCAACCTACGAGGGTTGACTCGCTGATGCTTCGCTGTGCTTCGCTTCGTTTACGACTTCGCCATTCGACGCGACAGAGGCGCTTAAATCACTTGTTTCCAACAAGCTAATGGCTCCTTCCACATTATATGTTTGCTTAGCATTGCACACGTAACAGTGTAGCTTCCATGAAGAGCATTCAAATGAACAAGAAGTACCTGTGTGGAAATATCCAGCTGTTTGGAACTAGTGGTGTACGTAGTGTATTTCGCGAGGGGAATGATAGCCAACTTGGGGTCTCGTGATTCGCGACCCTACGAAGAAGGCCCGAAGCAACCCACAAGCCTAGGCAGCTAGGCCGAGCTCGCCAGGTCACCACCTGCTGGCTTGGGTTTGACGGATTTCGCTAGCACCCTGGTTCACGGGAGCAGCGATCGTCAGCCCATTCACAATGGGCAGTACAGATACTTCAACGAAATAACCCAGAAAAAAACATTTTAGCCCTAAATATTATCGCAGTGGCAAAAAAATGAAACCCAATCGGGTGGCATAAAATTGGGGAGGCATCAACCCTAAATGCATGCGACAAGGTGTTTAGGGTTGATGCCTTTCTGACCGGATGCATGCCCGTATGGGGTTTATATTTTTTGCCAGCTTGTCCGTTCAGAAATCCGTCACCCTGTGTGGTCAGGTCTGACGGAGCGCGTGGGTGAGGTCCGAAATTGGTTAGAGACAGGTCCGGACCAGGTTCGACACATTGCGACACACGAGGCCCCAAGTCGGCTACATACCTAGAACTTCGGGGCCCCATCTAAGTGTTCCTCCTCCACTCCCTGCTGCCTCCGAACGCGTCGCATTGATGATGATGGCCATAGCTGGCTTGTGGTGTGCTATGCGTGTGCAGCGCGGCACCACCACCTCCTCTCACTCACCTCGTTTGAGTGTGCTTGCTGCGCCGCAAAAGACTTCAGTGTGGTAGCTCTTCCAAGGGAGTACAAACACTGTTATTTGGTTCGGATCTCCCGTTTGTATGGAGCAGGAGCAATCCATGGCTGTGTGCTTGCTGGCCGAACGAACCCGAAAGCTGATTGGTTCTCATCAACCGCCAACATTCATCACCATGCACACGCCATCTCGAAGCTGCCGCTAAGGCCACGTCGGCCATCACTAAGCCGGGTCGCGTGCTTACGAGGCACGATTCCATTGGTGTTTTCACCACCGCAACTTCTCCAAATCCCAGACCCACACAACTTTCCCCGGCAATCGATCCCTGGGTACGGAGGACCCAGCCAAACTGAACCAAACATGTAGCTTTGGTGGGGACAAGCGCCCCCAGGTCTGGTTGGCATCACCACGAGGGTAAGAGCAAAGCTCCCCCGAGCCGAACCAAGCTTTCGCAACACACTCCCCCTCTCCCCCAAAGATCCCCCAGAAACGAACGACTCCCCCGCTGCCCTCCTTCCCAAATGAACGACTTCCCCGCTTCGCGCCTCCGTGTATCGTGGGGTGGCCCGCCCACAACCGCCTCACCGCGCTGGAACAGCATTCTCCCTGCCTTCGTCGATTCTTCCTCGTTCCCCGACGGCTAGGTTTGGCTCAGCAACTAGATTCCATTTTTTTCAGCTCACCGCCTCTCATTTTACAAATCCCATTTTTGCCCTTCTCCTGAGTTTGGCCAGTTAGCATAATAGAGCTTATTCCCCTCGGGATTTCTTGGTGCTGCTTTCTGATATCTTCATAGCAACAGAGCTGTTCCACAAAGCAGCCCCGGCAGACCTTTTTGCGCTCACCATGAGGACGAGTAACTCAGCTATGGTCGTGTTCCCGCTTGCCCTGCTCCTCATGGTGACATCATGGCCCGCTAGCACGTTCGCGGATTTCACCGACGACGCGACGCTGGAAAAGGAGCTCACCTTCGCGGGGCTCACGGGATTCGTGAGCCTTATTAAGCAGGGCGGCCTCTTGTCGGAGCTGGAGCTCCGCGCGCGAAATGGATCCGCCGTTACTCTCTTCGCGCCGACCAACGAGGCGCTCATGCGCTCAAACCCCGCTTTCCTCGCCTTCCTTAAACTGCAGCGCAACGACCCGATGCTTCGCGACGTGCTGATGTACCACGTCATCGAGAAGCCCGTGTCGGCCTTCGCGTGGGAAGGCTCGTTCAGCACGCTGCAGGGCGCGCCGATTCAACTCCACGTGGACTCTCTCGCGTTTCAAGTTGGCGACTCGACGGTGAAGCAGTACAAGGCCGTCACCATGTCCATGGGCCTGGCTGACGGGCAGAGCGCGGAGGTTTTCGCGGGCACGATCGTGGTTCATTCCATCAACTCGCTGCTCGTGCCTCCGGCTCTCGACGAAGCATTTTTGCAGACCGACCTGAACACGATCCTTGCCGAAGGAAACGAATCTGACGGCGATCAGGGCTTGTACGGCTCGGACATCCGGCGGTCCATGCTCGCCGGGGCACCAGGCTCCGAGCCTCTCCCAGGCCCTCCTGTCACTTCCTCACCGCCACCCCCGCCCAGCCCCACTGTCCCAGTCCAGCCGCTCCCTACCCCCCCGCCTGCTCCCACAACCGCGCCTCCGCCTCCCAAATCTGCTCCTGGTACGATGCTCCTCTATGTTCCTCTTTGCCCTTGTCTCTGTGTATATGCCCTGTGCTTGCAAGTGTTTTCCTGCTTCCATCCCGTTTCGCTTGTGCTTTTGGACCCACATTTTCATCTCCCCGCCCGATCTAACTCGGTCCGCATCCCTTGCTGGCGTTCTCCCAGGTTTGCTGGCTCTCCGGCAGCTGCTTCCAACCTTGAGCTTCGCCTTCCTCGCCCTCGCGGCGTTGTTGTGAGGCACGTCGCTATCGGCTGTCGTGGGCCCTGGTGGTCCCTTTCTCACCCTGTGACTGGGAGGGAGTCTCATTTCATCCCAGTTACGAATCCCACCGTCGTTCGCCTCGTCATCCCCTATGGTCGTTGACACGCATCATGCCTGTGAGCATCTCGAAGTCCACTTCCTGTAGACTTCTTACTTCAGGGAGCTAATTATTGCCGTTTGTTGCCTTGAAAAAATCTGTACGTACTTACAAATGAATCCCTCTGAAAATCGCTCTCTGCAAAATAACACCATCTGAACACAACATATACCAGCGGCAGTCTGAAAAAAACATGCCAGACTTTGAAGACAGGAATCAGAACGGTAGGATTAGGTACCTGCGGGGTATGGTATACAGGCGCATGGCTACCAGCCTGGCGAGTATAGAACAGCTTTTGCCACCTGTAGGAGTCATGATGACATTATTGCACTAGCATTATTGGTGGACCACACGATGATAATCGGAGCAGCAAGCCCAGTGTCTTATACAGCTTCGTTCACCACCACCAACCAGCATTAAGTCAATACATGAACTCCATATCATAAATATAATCCAAATTATCAGCTAAATTATGAGCTAAGCCTGGAATTGCTTGAAAGGTTTGCCCTGTGAAATTTTTAAAGCATGGTGGCACTATTAATTAGCACATCAAGCCGGAACTCTTGTGCAATCCATGCAACAAAACATATATATAATGTATTCAATCTGGCGATATACCAGCGATTTTGCAGGCAAAGCACAAAACAGAAAAAACCTCATCCGACCACTACCATATCGAGGAAACCTCGAATCGCCCTGTCCCAGCTCGCATTCCGCAACTTCGTGCGCAAGATCGTCCCACGTCTTTTGGCTTCTTCCACCGCTTTGCAGCCACGCACCCCGCATCTCCACCGACCAACATCACCAATGCTTCAGTCCATAACCGCCGCAAACCATTCAATTGGTGTCGTCAATTCGTAACTTTCGTTTCGTCAAGACACCACGAAAGGTCACTTGTGCATTTTTTTTTCCGTGAGGCAATGGACTCCATGACTGGCTCTCTCATGGTGAGTGAGTGTTTCCTAGCAAACACGTCCTGGACGACATCCGCCTTTTCAGGAGGAGCCTCCTACCGCTGCTCCCCGTGTTCCGCGCCGCTGCCCGCGCCTTTTCCAACGAGTGGTAGTGTGACATCGTTTCGCGGTTTAAATACCCTCGATGCGCTCAACGCGTTCGACGCGCTCGTGCTGTTCGTCAGCAATGCGGCTTTTTGGGTGCAATTACAGGGCACGGGCTTGCTTCTGCTCCTCGCTGTCCTGTGGTTCAAGGCCTCTCAGTTGCGCCTCAACGAGGCGCGCAGGATAATCAGGGAGAGACGCACTATAGCAATACGCGACGTGGCGAACGTCGCTGCCCTCGATGTTGCCAGTGGTAGTTCTCACCCTGGTAATCATCTCTCGCAGGACGCGCATCACGCGCAGCAGCCGCAGCAGCCGCAGCATCACATGCAAGACCACGCGCAGCAACAGCACGAGCTTCCCAAAGTGACGGTCGTTCTCGCCGTAAAAGGCTGCGCGGGCGACGCGGGGATGAGCAACTGGCGCTCGCACGTCCAGACTCTGTACGGCGGCGCGACGGAGTTCATCTTCTGCGTGGAAACCGCCCACGACCCCGCGTGCCGCGCGGTTAAGGCCCTCCAGCGCGAAATGTGCGGACTTGCGCAGATACGCCTCGTCGTGGCGGGCCTCGCGACGCGCTGCTCGCAGCAGATCCACAACCAGCTCGCTGTCGCGATGCGCGCGGGAGCGGACTCGAAATACCTCCTCTTTTTAGACGACGACATTCAAACCCACCCGGACACGCTCACCCTGCTCGTAACAGCCATGGAGGAAAATCCCAACGCGCTCGTCTGCACGGGCTATTCCTTCGACTTCCCGGGTCCGGACCCGCAAACCAGGCGCAACCTAGCGGCATACGCGGCCATGGCGTATCGCGTGCCCGTGCAGCTCGCCATGGCGTCGGGCGGGAAGCAGCTGCCCGTGTGGGGCGGCTGCATGATGATTCGCCTCGACGACCTCCGCGCCGACAGATACGGCATGTTGACGGCGCTCAGCGCGCGCGGGTACAGCAACGACCTCACTCTCTCCGCCATCGCCGCGAGCAACGGCCGCGACGTCGTCTGCCCCGCGGCGGCGATTTTCCCGGGGAGACTGTCCGGGTCGTGGACGTTCCAGCGGTACTGGAACTACGTGCGCCGGCAGACGTTCGCGCTCACGACCTTCTGCTCGCCCGTCGCGCTCGCGCTGAACGCGTGCGCGTTGCTGCTGTACGGGTACGGCTCGTTCTGCGTGCTCGCGCCGCTGCTGCCGTCGGCTCTCCGCGTGGCTCGCTTCCTCGCGTCTGTCTGGTGGAATCGTCCGAGTACTGGACCTGACTGGTGGGATCCGTTCCCTTCCAGCTTATCCCTCCTCAACTTCCTCGCCAGTTTCTCCAGCAGCGCGTGCATTAGACTCGTCCTCGCCAATGCGAGCCTGCTCCTCGCACTGCTGTACCTCTCAATGTTTGCCCTTGCGACGCTCGCAGGTATCCGCCTGTTCCACACCACCTTCGTCCTCTGCAACCTCCTCTCCCCCGAGAAGCCCCCCATCCGCCTGGGCAGCCTCAGCCTGCTGCTGGGCGTGGCGGGCATGCTGGTCAATCTCGCAATTGTCCCTATTGTGTCGGTGTACACGCTGCTGCAACCCGCGATCACCTGGGCTGGAATCACATACGTGCGGCGCAGGGGGCTTATTGTGGAGGTCAGGCATCCCCAACTTCCGCAGGTGGGGCAGCAGCAGCAGCAGCAGCAGCAGCAGCACAGGCAGGAAAGGGACGGGGTTGTGAAGGGTGAACGGGAGGAAGTCGAGGGAACAGCGGAGGTGGAGGTGGAAGAGGAGGATGGCGAGGAGCAGCAGCAGTGGCTGCTCCCCCTCCTCGCATCATCACCAGTTTATGGCTTAATCAAGCAGGTTGATCGGGGGAGACTAGACAGAAAGCGGGCGCCAAACCCACCGTGATGTAGGCCTGTGTGGGGGGCTCTGTAGGACACAATTGCTCTCACTGCTCAAGGCACTGGAGCTGTTCGCATGCTGGTGTTATGTGGGACAGTGGTTGTTGTGGTACCATAGCTTTATTGTTTTCCGCTCTGAAAATGACATGACGTGGTCACTGATGCCATGGTGCCACTCCTTGCCTGTATATATGCTGGGATGGTTTGGAGAGATAATAAGGGGGCTAGTTTTGGAAATAAGCAGGCACTCTGCATTGACAACCCTTGTACTACTGTAGTTTATGCTACTGTACGATCATGTGCCAAGATCCCAGAATGTTAGACAAGAGGATTATTGTTACGAGTGCAATGGAGTGAGCGAACGAGAATGGCACTATCGAAGCAAGAGTACAATGAGCGAAGGCATGAGCGAAGAATATATAGCGAAACTACAGTGGTAACGGTAATGCGTGGAAATTGGGGTGCGCGACGGGCCTGGCGCCGAGGTTGGGAATTGTCGAGGCGGAGGTCCGGAGCGCGGGTTACCAACCGAACCGTGAGGTTGGGTCGCGTCGTGAACAGTGGCGGGAACAGTGTCGAGGCGAGTGTCGCGAGTGGTAACGGATTACTGTTGGGTGCTGTTGGCGGGAATAGTGGTGTACGCGCTGAGCAGGGACGCGAAGTAAGGAAAATGAATTTTCCTTACACTACCCCCCTCCCCAAGGAGGCCCCTCTTACGAGAGCGCATGTACATCTCGGAAGTTTCGGCTTCTCAGGTACTCAGTGAGGACAAGGTGGTTCTCAATTCTATCCAGGGGGACCCAGTTGTCTTCGGTGGGCGTGCGGTCCTTCCAGCGGATCAGGAATTCAATTCTGCGGGCTCCCCGTGGGTCACGTACTCGATGGCTCAGTATTTTCTCAGGCGTGATGACTGGCTCAGTTGGTGGTCGTGTCATGCTGGCGGGACGGTTGCAAGGCAGTTGGCTGGTGGATGGCACGTATGGGCGGAGCAGGCTGACGTGGAATGACGGGCTGACGTACCAATCAGCAGGGAGGAGGAGGTGGGCGGTGACGGGTGTGATCATGTGGCTGATGCGAAATGGCCCGCAATATCGGGGGCGGAGTTTCGGGGTGATGGGCAGGCGGAGGTTTTGAGTGTCGAGTAAGACCAGGTCGTCGGGTTGGTAAGTGACGGGGCGGTGGTGTCGGTCGGCGTTGCGCTTAGCGATGATGTTTGATTTTTTTATTGCTTCTGCTGCTCGGGTCCGTGCTGCTTGTAATATTTCTGCGAACTGTTGTGCGCGTGTGACTGGGTTGTCGGGATTCGGGGTCATGGGTAATGTAGGGTCTTGTCCGTAGTTTAGGTAAAAAGGTGACTGTTGGGTCGTGGCAGATGGCGAGTTGTTGTATGCGAATTCGATGAGTGGCAGTTGCTGTTCCCATGTGTTCGGGTCGTCGCACGTGGCCCGGATAAGCTGTTCCATGGTCTGATTTGTCCGTTCTGTCTGTCCGTCGGTTTCGGGGTGGTATGATGAACTAAACTGTAGTCGCGTGCCGAACTGCTGCCACAGGTTCCGCCAGAAGTTGCTGGTGAATTTCGTGTCTCTGTCGCTGATGATCGATGCTGGTATCCCGTGCAGTCAAACGACGGTAGAGATGAAGAGGCGGGCTGTTTCTTCGGCTGTGATTGACTTTTTGCAGGCTGCGAAGTGTGCCATTTTCGTCAGTCGATCGACGACGACCAGGATCACGTCATTCCCACTCGCTCCGGCCGGTAACCCCGTGACGAAGTCCATCGTCACCTGCTGCCAAGCACGCTCTGGGGGTGGTATCGGCTGCAACTGTCCTGCCGGCTGCTTCCGTGATGACTTCATGATTTGGCAAGTGGGACACGATGCCACGTGTCGTTGAACGTCGGTCAACATTTCGGGCCAGTAATAATACCGCTGCAGCTGCTGCCGTATTTTCTCTACTCCGAAATGTCCCGAGGTAACTCCGTCGTGTGCCTCCTGTAATAGTAATTCCCGTAGCAGTGTGTACCCTGGTACCCAGTGTCAGAACATTATATAGCTTATGTTGTTGTGTAGGCTATAGTGGGGTATCCCATAGGGGGTACAACCCAATTAGGGTTTTCTATATGTACTCACCTCATTCATAGTTCATTCATCCTCGTTCTTCATTCTTCTCATGGTATCGAGCAGGTTCCCTCGTGGGAACTGTTCCTAGGGCCCACCGTTTTTTTTTTTCCTGCCCGGAGCGCACTCTGCCCCTACCCGAGTCGCGCTCCCCTCTCTCTTGGCCCCTAGTGGCCCCTTTAGCCGCCCGTCACGGCCCTTAGACGCCCGCGCGCCGCCCGTCCCGGCCCCTTAGACGCCCGCGCGCCGCCCGTCCCGGCCCCTAGACGCCCGTGCGCCACCCGGCCCGGCCCCTAGACGCCCGCGCGCCGCCCGTCCCGGCCCCTAGACGCCCGCGCGCCGCCCGTCCCGGCCCCTAGACGCCCGCGCGCCGCCCGTCCCGGCCCCTCGACGCCCGCGCGCCGCCCGTCCCGGCCCCTCGACGCCCGCGCGCCGCCCGTCCCGGCCCCTCGCCGCCCGTGAGCCGCCCGTCCCGGCCCCTAGACGCCCGCGCGCCGCCCGTCCCGGCCCCTAGACGCCCGCGCGCCGCCCGTCCCGGCCCCTCGACGCCCACGCGCCGCCCGTCCCGGCCCCTAGACGCCCGCGCGCCACCCGGCCCGACCCCTAGACGCCCGCGCGCCGCCCGTCCCGGCCCCTCGACGCCCGCGCGCCGCCCGTCCCGGCCCCTCGACGCCCGCGCGCCGTCCGTCCCGGCCCCACGCCGCCCGTGAGCCGCCCGTCCCGGCCGCGCACCGCAGTCCCGGCCCCACGCCGCCCGTGCGCCGCCCGTCCCAGCCGCGCGCCGCCGTCTCGGTCCCCACGCCGCCTGTGCCGCTGAGGAGCTGAGCCGCCCGAGCCGCCCGAGCCGCCCGCACCGCCCGAGCAGCCCGAGCCGTGCTGCCCCTCAGCAGCACAACCGAGCCGCCCGACAGCAGAGCAGCCGAGCCGCCCAGCAGCCGAGCCGCTCAACAGCCGAGCCGCCCAGCAGCCGAGCCGCCCAGCAGCCGTGCCGCCCAGCAGCGGAGCCGCCGAGCCGCCGAGCCGCCCGGCAGCCGAGCCGCCGAGCCGCCGCGCCGCCCTCCTTCCGGGCCGCCCGACCTGTCCAGTCTGGTGAGCACAGCGCCCTTTCACTGCACTGCCCTCACCCTACTGTTTGCGCTGCCAGTCGTCTAGGGTCATGGCTACCCCTAGTGTTCTAGTCTTTGACGCTGAGGGTCGGGCCATTGACTTTGAGGTCTGGGTGGATGACCTGCAGCTGTTCTTACAGTGCGATAGGGCAGATGGTCTCTCTCTCTTTGACCTCACCTCTGGCGCCTCCACTGCCCCTGCTGCTGACGCCGACGCCACTGTTCGCTCCCAGTGGGCCACGTGCGACGCTGCTGCACGTCTTGCTGTGCGTCGCCACCTCCCTACCTCCGAGCGTGCACACTTTAGTCAGTACAAGAGTGCTCAGACCTTGTACGACGCTGTAGTTGCGCGCTACTCCTCCCCTGCCACTGCTGCACTGAGCCGTCTCATGCTACCGTACCTCTTTCCTGACCTTGCTGCCTTTCCCACAGTCGCTGACCTCATTACGCACCTCCGCACTAGTGACACTCGCTACCGCGCTGCACTCCCTGCTGACTTCTGCGCCAAGCACCCCCCCCCCATGTACATCACTCTTTACTACATAGTCACTCGCCTTCCTGACTCCCTTCGCGTAGTCAGGGACCACTTTCTCTCTGTCTGTCCCACCACTCTCACTGTTGACCTCCTCGAGAAGTCCCTCCTAGCGGCCGAGAAGAGCATAGTCGCTGTAGGGGCCTCTCGTGGTGACCCGCGCACCCCCATCTTTGAGGGGTGTTCCCCCTCCCCCCTTCTGCCCTCTGTTGCCTCTGCTGCTGCGGCCGACCTCCTTGGTCTTGAGTCGGTCGGTGTGGCGTCTGCCCCTAGTGGGAGACGCCGCTCTGGCAAGGGCAAGGGGGGCAAGGGCGCTGGAGGAGCGAGCGGGGGCGGTGGAGGTGGAGGTGGCGGCAGTGGGGGGAGTGGGGGTGGCGGTGGGAGTGGAGGTGGGGGTGGAGGAGTCGGTGGCGGCAGTGGAGGCGGAGGTGTCGGCGGCGGTGGCAGTGGGAGCGGGGGTGGCGGAGGTGGCGGCGGCGGAGGCGGAGGTGGAGGCGGCGGCAGTAGCGGAGGCGGCGGAGGCGGAGGAGGCGGCGGGGGTGGAGGTGGTGCTGGTCGCGGGTCTTCGCAGAGGAGTGGCTCCGGTGGTGGCTCGCGCCAGCAGCAGCAGCGTGGTCGTGACACCTTGTCCCCTCAGCAGCTTCGTGAGTGGTACACTGCGCGTCAGCGAGGTGGGGGTTTTGGTCCGTGCTCCTACGTTTTGCGCACCGGCGACCGTGCGGGTGAGCAGTGTGGGGGTCCCCACCCCACTCAGCGCTGCTTTGGCCGCCTGACGGACGCGTGGCGTCACCAGTTCCCGGAGGCCTCAGAGATCCCTCGTTGGGGTGACCTGTCCAGGGCGGGTGTTGCCATCTATGATCTTGACTTTGATGCTATTCTCTCTGCCATGTATGCTGTGTCTATTAGTGATGAGGGTGACTGTTACCGGTGTTTCCCGCCCGATCCGGGTATTGGGACTGCTGCTCTAGGTCCTGGTGAGGCTGCTGCCCTAGGTGCTTGCGACGCTGCTGCCCTAGGTGCTCGTGTGTCTGCGTCCTCAGGTACTGGTGAGTCTGCGCTCTCAGGTACTACGTCGGCTTCGGCCTCCCTCACCTTCACCCTTGACTCTGGGGCGTCTCGCTCCTTCTTTAGGGACCGCACCACACTCACACCGCTGAGTCGACCGGTTGCAGTGTCTCTGGCTGACCCCTCTGGGGGTCCTGTCCTGTCTCGCTTCTCCACAGTCCTCCCGTGTCCGGCGGCTCCCTCTGGCACC